TAATTAAATTTATTTTACAGATTTGCACAATAGGAAAGGAATTAAAAATATTTAATGTTGAAAAACTCGCCTCTCGACGAATATGCTCTCCCATTGCGCGATATTTTCAATGAAGAAATATCGACTACATATTATGCAAAGATTTCACGTATGAAAAATGATCCGAGAAAATCCTGCATACCGTGCTTTATATTTTCCGGCATAGGAAAATGCTACCGTGCAACACGAAGTCACGCATATGAAGACAAAGACAACCAGAATACCTTCCAAGGATTACCACGGCGCGAATGCAGCTACGGAGATAATAAAACCGCAACACACAGAGAAAGAGAGTACAAGAGAGAGACTCGGGGCCTCGTGGATTCCCTTCCTCGTCGTTACTCTTCTCGCTATATAGCGAGACTCCGAAAATCGTTTACGGTGCTTTCCAGCAGTTCCGGACTCTGGAAGAAAGGCCATTTCATCCCGGCCTTTACAACCCGGCACATCGTAACTTTTATCCAATTACCAATTTTGTGCCAATCGCCCCGGCCAAAATTTTTGAGCCACCACCCGGCTGAGATACAACAAGCTCGTGACGATCCAAATCGCTGCGATTCACCAAAATTTCGCGACACGAGGGAGGTCGATAATATGTTGCTATTTCCTCGATCGTCCCCGATTACGTGCGAGTCTCCGGTATGGCCTTCGACCTTTTACCTCATTGTGCTTCAGACGGAATAAGATATTCCATGAAGCTTTCACGTAAAGAAAGACGTAAAATTTACCAACATTTAGTATTCAACATTCCGTAATACTAAAAACTGCTTTAAAGATGCAATTTTTAATATCTTTAGAAAGCAATTCTCCATTCTTTTCGTGCAGCACGATATCTTTCATACATTATTTGAGCGACTTTCATGTAGAAGGGAAAGAACGCGAAAGAATATATTTCAAGATATTACGCAGCCAACAGAAACGGTCACTGTGTTATTAGTCACACAACTCTGTTATATACAAATCCCGTCTGTATATACGGGGTGATCTATAACGAGTGTAAAAAGCTTTTCGACAGTTTGTTCGAGAAGTCATTTTAAATATAAAAATGTTATAACATAGATCCTATTTCAATTAATCAGGACTATACAAGAGATCGATTTATTAACGCCGTAATAAATAATAGGTTTATAATATCTAGTTACAATTTTAAAAAATACAATATATTCTATTTATAAATTAACACTTATTTATTGGAAAATGAAAATGTAATATATGAGTTATATAAAATATTTAAAATATGAACTCAAATGCAAGCATTCCTCTACAATAATTGAAATAATCATCGAGTCTATAATTAATTGAAATAAGACATACATTCATATAATTTTTACTTAAAATTATCTCCCGAACAGGTTGTCGAAATTTTTTTACACTCGTTGTAGAACACCCTGTATATGTATAAAGATGTCGAAATCGCGCCCGTAGCATTTTTTTTATTGAACGCTGATGTTATTACAAGTGTTTCTAGAGAAATATATTGATTGACAGATCTTTCGCTGATTCGCGGTATACAAATTGCTTTAAAAACGACTCTCACACATGTTTTTCACGATATTCGAAAAAAATGCTATATGGATTCAGCGAATATGTATTTATTTTTATATTTGTTACCAAAATCCTAGTATGATTAGATAAAATATTAATTATAGAGATCGCATGGATGACATATGTCATTATTAAAAACGAAAAATTAAAGTATAAAGATAAATGAGCACATGTTCTTTTTTCAAAACATATCAAATCACTCGATTTTTAAAAAGTTGTTGACACATATCAGAACTCCATTATTATTTGTAATTCTCGCGAAAGAATTTAAGCTTCGAGCACATTTTCGTCAGACTTTCGCAGTTCGTTAGTTGACAAGTCGGGGAAGGAAAGTCGGAGGAACATCTTACATCGCGTTGTAATTCACCGCGGGTTTATCGCGACTCTCGCATCAATATGCGACGCTCCGTAGGCAAACATCGCATTAGGCGTGTCAGCTAAACTAATTCCGCGTGCGAGAATTTCAACGAGGAAAGACAACACACACACCTCCACAACCGAACAACTCCATTCTTCGCTTCCCCTCACGATTCGCGCCACGATAAGTCGCGTATCGCGTCACCTAATACTGCGGTAAACCATCTCGTTAGATGAAGAGAGAAAGAGAAGGAGGGAGAGAGAAAGAGGGAGACATTGAGAGGGCGTCTCGAGAGAACCCTCTCTGTGTATATAATCCCTTTTGTGCTCGTTGCAGGTAAACAAACGGCGACTGTGAATCAATTTCATCCCAATTCGCTCTCTTTCTCCCTTCGTTCTCCATCGATTTTTTTTTTATCAAGTCTATCAATGGATTCTCATTTAATTTTATGAGACGTATGAAAGAGAGTCTTTGAAATATTCCGAGCTTATCCCGTCCTTTTGCCTAAATCTACATAAAATTTTGAGATTTTGTTTGTAAATCACACATTTTCCAGTTGAAAACAATTTTTGGAGAAGCCTCAGGTTAACTCTCTGCAATATCTAAATTGATTTCCAAATAAAATTTCATGTTTTATTTTAGTTTCGCAGTCCTTTGTTATGAGAGCATGTGTAGTCCGGAATCAAAAACATGCATATAATACTTCAATTATAAACATGCGATATTCTATAAACGACAACGAATTACATTAAAAAAATAATAAAAAGTGTGCGGAAACTATATGTTTCTATGTTTAGATAACAAAAGAGTTTTATTTGCAATATAAAACATTAGTAAAAAAAAAACAATTCCAATTCCCATGCTTGATATTTGGAAAGAGCTTGTGATTTGAAAATGTTTTTGGAAGATCCGATATCTGTGGAAGATATCGAATTTCTGATCAAATATCTTTGTAAAAATTTATGATTTTATGCGATTCACAAATAGTTATAATTGCCTTTTGTTTATTTATACATATACATAGTGCATTGTATTCATTGATACTTCATCAAAAAGCAGTATATGCATACGAGTCATTTTTCCTCCCCAAGGTAAACAAACAGATTAAACAATACTAATAATAAAAAAAAAAAAAAAACTATCCGCAGGAGCAAAATTAGGAATTGACGTCTGACGTTCATCGATCGATTTTCGAAATCGTGACAAGAAAATTTTTCGCAAAACCTACATTTTTCTAGCGTCACGTGCGGCCGAAACAACGTTATTCGCTCGAGTGCATCTTCTTTTAGAGCAAATCGCCTGGCGAGCAACTCTTTTTTTCACGGAAACTTTTTATCTAGCTTGCATCCTAACAAGACTTGATTTTTCTAGCAATTTTCCTACTTCTCTGCTCTCCTCCCCCGCGAGCACGTCGTTTAAAAGACGTGAGTCGCGCATCTTGATTAATAAAATTGTGAAGCAATTCAAACCAAAATCAGAAACGAACGTAAAACGTGGAACGGTGGTTAATATAACGGTTAAATGAAATTTATTATCATTAGAGACTATTTTAAATCTCTGTATATTGTATATATATACATATATATATATATATATATTGAGAAAATAACTGGGTTAACCCGGCGGCATCGTATATACGATTACATAAGCATTGCAAAGAGTCATTAACCGTACGTGCAAGTTTGCAGCTATTGCTATCGATTACCGTACGAAAATATAGGATGCTAATAATTGATGGTCAATGTAATGAAATTTTACAAAGAAAAGATAACATCCTTACGGAATTTACGTCAATTAATTTTAATCGAGTCTTTAAAAATCATTTAACTTTAAAAATGTTTAGTCTGATCTCTCTTTCTCTCTCTATATACATACAATATATTGAATTCGAATAAGTATTTATTTCAATAATGTCAAATAAATCATTTATTTGAAAATTAATAATACTGATTCGGTGTAAAAAATATTTATAAGAAAATCCTTTTTAAAACAAATAAATATTTATTTGTTCCAAATAAATGATTTATTAAGCAGTATTGAAATAAATATTTCCAAATTTAGTCACTTTCTTTAATTTCAATATGTATATTCTTAAAAATACATAAACACATAAAAGAAAGAGAGATATATTATTAAATAAATTAAATCACGTAGGTTCCAAGTGGAGAAATAGGGAGCTGAATTAAATATAACAATAAGAACGATAAATGAAGCCAAATTGCAAAATCGAAATAAAAATTAATTATCCACGTAATAATATTATTTTTGACAACGAGATTTTACGTTTCAAATTACCTAAAAATATTTTGAAATAATATTCCATCCATATAATTTTATTACATTATCCTATAAAAGCTTATTCCATCTTCGCACTGTCCGATTGTATTATAATATAATAAAAAATTGCAAAAGTCACGCCAACTATCTATAGACATTGAAAAAATATCCGTGTTATAAATATGAAAAAAAAATGTCAATTAATTAATCCAGCCGAACTCTGGAATTCTTTCGTTTATTAAAATCGCCATTATTTATCGTTCGACGCGTTTCCCATCGCGTTCACGAAAATAAACGGAACAACACCGGAGATGACGCTTCGTTCGGCAAGATTCAGCAGCGTCCATGGCGTCCATCCGTTATTCGCGTCGTGTTCTCACGAAAGGGACGAGAGCACGCGGTTAGCACCGCTCTTTCTCTTCTCTCATAATACATTTTATATACCTTTCCTTCGTCTTCGCCGAACGAAATAATGTCGGACTAAGACGAAGAGAGCACGACCGCAAGGCGAAGCACGCAGAAATGCGTAGCTTCGTTTCGACGAATCGCGGCGGTTCGTAAATAAGTTCCCGGCCTTAAGGCCCCGCTGTGAGAACGATCCCTCTCCTTTTACCTCCCCTACCTTCGCTCAAACGAACTCCGATATACACACATACACGCAGGCGCGTCGCGCTCGCGCATGCGCGGTAAACACGGATTTAAACACGGATAAGACACACGGAAAAGACGGGGTCTTGTAACGAACGCGCATAACCTTACAAGAAAGATATACTTCACTCACCGAAAGTTCCGCAGAAGAACAGGACGACGAGGGCAGGTAGCAGCCTCGTCCCGCAGGATCGCGCGATACATCTTCCCGTCATCTCGTCGACGAGTCTTTCTCTCCTCTTCGTTCGTTTTCCTCCGAAGAATCCTCGAGAGAGAGAGATATCTTCGAGGACGTTACCTTCTCTCTCTCTCTCTCGTCGCGCAATCAGTTTCAACGGTTTCACTGTACACCACCTGCACACGCGTTTCTCATGTCGCGTTGTCCCGCACTTGAAGCGAAAAACCAAGTCGAACTTAAATCACACTGTGTACTCGCACTTGTTAATCCTGTTCAACTCGCGAACGTCGTCCTCGGCGAGGAGAAACCGAGTTTATACCGAGCGCGCCGAGAGAAGAACGACGCCGTGCCAACGCGCCTAACCGACTGAAGCCAGCTACGGAAACGCGCTCGGCTCGGCTCGCCTCCCACTCGCTCGCTACGCGATACTCCCTCTCCGCCCTCCCGTGCAACACTGTGCCTCGCCGCGCGTATCCCCACCCGCTCCGGTCCGTCTCCTCCCCTCTCCCGCCCCGCGCGCAAACAGTGCCGCGTTCCCCCACCACGTGGCCATGCTACTTGTTGATCTTCGTTCAGGAACGCGCGACCACGCGCCGCGCCCGTTTCTTCCCGCGTCGACCTAGAAAGAGACACACGAAGTGTGATGTTGGGGTTTTTTTTTTTTTTTCAGCCTCTTGAATTTCTACACCGTGTATATTGTATGCGCGACACAGGACGATTTCCGCGATTTTCAAAACAAATCTTGGACGGGGAAAGAATTTATTGTGTTCGAATAAATATTTATTTCGATATACTGCCTTATAAATCATTTATTTGAAACTAATAATATTGATTTGGAAAAATATTCGTTTGATACAAAAAAACTTTTCAAAATGGATAAATATTTATTCAGCAGTACTGAAATCAATGTTTATTAATTTAATATTTTTTTCAGTGCGCGTGTAGTTTTAAATGGGTTAATTTATAATTCTTCAAAAGTTTGCATTTTTTTCGAGAACTTTGAGTAATGCATTTTAAAAAGGCATAAAATATTTTATATTTACTTTTTAAACATTTTATTTTAGATTTACGTAGAATAATAACGAAAGTGTCGATTTAAGTAAATAAAATTCAGAAAAGTGAGTTAGAGATATTCATGTTTTCTCTTAAGAAAAGATATATTTATAAAACAAAAGAAATTGTATTATTATCTCTAATAATTTTTAAAAATATGTATTTTGCATTTTTCGCTGCATATTGTCAAACATTTTTATATGACTTGAAAATATGCTTTGCACGAGAGTAATCTACTTTCACATATTCCAAACTGTGCATGCGCGAAATATAGATCATGTATTATTGCACTTTAATAATTACACGAGTATATAGCTTATCTCTACGCATTGAAAATGAGGATAACATACACATTTCGTATTCTGCATATCGCTTGCAATTAAAATCCTCGTTCGCAATTTGTTAACGCGTAATTATTTTAATAACAAAACATGAAAAATGTATCCATCGCGCAATAAGCAACGCACAAACATTACATGGACACATCACAACGTATGTATATGTATACAAAAATGACATATTATGTCCCTTGATGACTAAAAATTTTATAGAATAACAAACGAAATAATGTTTCAAGAAATTGTTTAAATGCTCATGTAATTTCTGTCAATTATAAAAATCATCTTATACAACATGTTGAAGAAAACATATTATTTTTTCTATTGTATCTGACAATTGATTTGATTATCACGATCATGACTTCGATATTTTCGTAGAATAAATTAGTAAAAATTCTGTAAAATTAAATAAACAAATATTATAATAAAACTATGACATTTCTTTAGATAATTACTTGGAAAAATTTATATGTATATCTCGTGAATTATACATTTTAATCCTAGTTACACTGAATTATTATTATCACTGTAAATAAAAATAACTTGTTCTTTCTTCATATGTGGTTTTTTGTATTTAGCTCAGCTTGCTTTGACAATAAATTCAACAATACGCTTTTATATACGAATCTCCGGCGGTCTGTTGTTGAATGTGTAACCTTGATCTTGTTTTCATGCGTGCACGTGAATAATAAGTGTTGTGTGAGACGGTGAAAATTATTATACATTAAAGCATTATATATCTCTGAAACCGGAAACGGTCCTCATATAACTCAAAGCGAAATGACTCAAAAGGACGCATAATAAATGTGCAAATAATGATTCGCGAGAAATGTAAATGTGTTTTCATGTCCTTATTATTTTATTCGTAAACGGACGCGTTTTGCATATTTAATTCGATTATTATCATTACAAATGTATAGAAAGTATATCATTACTGCTTTGACCTCTAAATTGAATCGTCATCATAGGGAGAATATCCAAATATTAGAGAGAGAGACAATTAGCCAACATTATTCGCCAATAAGGCAAATTCGTAGTAATATTCATATCGAGACATATGTACATAATCTTAATTATAATTCGACTCCTTACATGGAAAGCAATATATTGTAGATTCAGCAATCATGATTTGTGAAGCTTGATTGTACAGAAATATACATATATTTACTAAGTAAATTATATGTCAAACATAGGACTGTGCACATACAAGAGATATGCAAACATTATATAATTGTAAATATAGAGACTAAGTTTAATCAAACCGATTAATGAGATAAATGTAATATTTCCAAATAATAAATATAATAATGCACAATTATATCTAACAAATGTGTGCGTAACAAGAGTTATAATAATTATTAAATGAATAATATGCTCAATCTTCGTTTGAAAAATATTTATAATATATATTATATTTATAATAAATTTATAATATATATAATATAAATTTTTATAATATATATTTATACAATAATTGTAAATATTTTTTATATTTTTTCCTGTTACATATCAAATATTTTATGCAATACATTAATTTACTAATAATGTGTGTATAGATAATAATATTTAAAGCATTATTATTTCAAATTTCACAAATGGATATTCCTAATTTAACGTTAATGTCTCTCTCTCTCTCTTTGACGTACACACATCCATGCAAATACAATACATACACACGTACACTTCTAATCTAAAGGAGCGATCCAGCCACGGAAAATTGTCTTTGATTTGACTGGAAAGGTTGACGTGTATGTTCATTAATAATACGCAACGCAATGCTCGCTGCTACGGAAACAGACATTGTTGGGAGAGTAGACGCTCCGCTAATGACTCGGCCGACTGTAATCATTCGGTGTCGCATGCAGTGCACGTTTATTCCCAATTACCGTAATTATCGCGGTTTTCTATCAAATTAAAGGTTCGTCCGGCACTTTCGTTTCTTCCTGTCACGTTTTTCGCCCGCCAGAGATCGCGGCTGGACCGAGAGAAACCGAGGACGCATAGACGGAGAATGCAGTCCGAGTTGACCCTTTGGACACTCCTGCGAAATTCAATTCCGCGCGTTTCCTCGCGCGGGGTCTCCGGTTCTACAACGTTTCCTTGCAATTAAACTTCTCAACAATCCGTTCGCGATCAATTAGAAGTCCGACGAAGACCGATTTAAGCGAATAATTTTCTCTCGAACGGAGAATGTTTACGGTGAAAATAACAAAATTAGATTTTAGTCGCTCTCGTGTCGCTTCCATCCTCCTTCTTCTCTCTTAAGAATAAACGTCCCTCGAGTATACTTTGGACGAGTGGGCGGTTGATAAAACCGAGCTGCTCCGACAATGTCAGATTATGCAATTGACCCTTGCGGTTGTCTCGAATCTCAGAGCCTCGGCCATTTGAATCTCTTTGGGCATAGTCTAATTGAGTCTCTCTCTCTCTCTCTCTCTCTCTCTCTCAGCTCCCTAAATCGGATTCATTAAAAGCGACGATCACTACGAGAATCCCTCAGAGAGGACCGAGAGTCTCTCTTTGACCCAATTGATAAGACGGATTATCCGGTAACAAATATATAAATAAAATTTATGTCAAACGTAAGAGCGTAAATTACAAGTGTGTATACGTGCGTTATTGTTAAATAAATTATACATATTATACACATATATATATATAATGAAATACATGAAGAATCTCAAATTTATTTCAGCTTAGCTCGATTACAAACGCGAGTGGACGCGAATCGATCGGCTTGGCAATGGTATTTCGGCAATGTCGAAAATTCCGCGCGAATCACATTAATCATCATTACAACAACAAAACTCGCGCGTTGTTAGTTTGGAGCTTTTAATAATCGTTACAGCATCGGGATGTGCCCGCTGGTAACGTATAACAATACGCCGCTCGTCGATTGCACATGTGGCGTTAATTATTCTTCACGAGAAACACTTGCTTTCATTCGATATGACTCATTGTTTCGTATCTTTTGCGCATTTATTGCACAATGTCAATGTGAAGAACGATCGATAACGCATGAATATATTGTTGCAATAAACCAGCAAGATGAAATGAAAATAAATATCCTCGCTTTGTCGATATTCAGATGAGTAATATTTATAGAATATATAACAAACTTTTCTCTCTTAATGCATGAAAATAATATATCACGGAAATATGAATCTCTTATTGTATCACTCAATTCTCAATTGTTTCACAATCAAATATTATTCGCGACGCGACGCAGGAATTTTATCAAATGAGAAGGTTAAAAGTTTTATTTTATAGAATACTCTTTTTAACTTTAAATAACCGCGATGTTAAATGGAATGTCTTTTTCAGCAATTCGAGCAATTAACTTGAATACGAATTTCGTCAACGCGAAAAATTGTCATCAATTTTTGAATGGCTAAATTACGCTATTTGCGTCAGAAAACTTTCCAAACGTTCCCATTGATAAAAGAGAGCATTTTCGGAGGAAAGAATCAGCGAATTACGCACGTTGCATACGAAACGTTGTGCACATGAATGATTAATGTCATTAGAGCGACCATCCGGGATTAAGAAATGTCGTTCATGTTTAAAAGACGAATTAAAATGTAAAAACATATCTTGCGAGCATATTACTTATTTAAATACATGTTTTAAGCATTACATTTAAATTTATGTTAATTAAAATTGCAGATTTGTACGCGTGAAAGATTAATGTCATTCGCGCAACCACTCCAGAATTAAGAAATTTTTCCTTTTAGGAATATGCATTTACCTGTTGCGGTAAGACCGCGCATAAGCTACGAAAGTAATTTTTTTCTACGCGGTTAAATGTAACACTTTTTTTGGAAGAGTCGTTAGCATGGGCGTCCGTAGGATTTTTTCCAGGGAGGGCATAATTAACATTTTTTTTTGGTTTCTTATTTTTTATTCTTTCTTAATTTGTTTTAAATTTAATTTTGTTTTATATTAAATATAAAAAATAATTTTTTTAATGATTCCAAATGTCCCGTCTTGCCTTCTTCTGTGGACGCCCATACTCGTTATAGGGTTTAAAAAAGAAACTCTTTCTCTTTCATTTTCTCTCTCAGCGAATCGAGCGACTATATAATAGTTTGAGTGCAAATTTCGTTTAATTTTTTAATAGCTATCAACTATACTAAATGCAACTTTCGAAACGTTTACATTGATAAAAGAGGTTGCGCATTTTAGGAGGAGAGAATTAGCGAATTACGCACGTTGCATAACTTTTCCG